TATATATATATATATATATATATATGTATATATATATATAACACAAAATAATGTGTTATTTTTAGGTCTTATTCCTATAATTTACTCCTTTGATTCAGATATTGGCCGTTTAAATATTTCTAAGTAGCAATTATATATATATATATATATATATTAGTATTCGAAATCCAATTTTTGATTTTTCAACTCAAAGCCTAAGCATAATTAGTGTATGATTGCATAAATGACAGATGATCAAATTATTTATATTTATGCGTCTCATATTCTCTTTAATATAATAAATTATTAATTTTTTAAAAAAAACTTGTGGTATTTTGGATTGTAAATTCACTTATGACATATATAAATATAGTTGACTATAAATAATAGTAGTCAAATACTTACAAGTGGATCACTCATTGCAAAAAAAAATGTCCATCACTAGAGTGATTTCTTAGATTGGTTGGATTGAAAGTGCACTGAATTAGAAGTGCCCACTAATTTTGGTTAATCACTATCAAGAATTATAATCCTTCTATTTCTAACTACTAAATTTCCTCCCTACTTGCAAAAGCAACAAAAATCATACAATATTTTATGGATACTTCTGCATCCATAAATAGGAAAAGCATCCATAAATAGGAAAAGAGAAGGCATCGTTTGTGTTATGCTCGATCGCAAGCCTTTCCTGCATTCACATATCCCACCGTCTTTTGTTAGATGACAATTGCATTGGAGTTTGGGTTGACTCTGTGGATGGGGTTTTACATGTGCAAGTCATGCTGATGCTTTCAGCAAAGGTTGACTTTATGATGTGTGGCTTTCCCACCCGTGTCCTGTTGATGCTCGGAGCACGAGGTTGACTTCGTGAAATGGGCTGCAAGATGGCGCCAAGTGGATCCCTTGGGGATGAATTCAACGCATTTCCCTCGTTATGATGAAGTGATATATAACTTAATCCCACACATGAGATATAAAAAACAGGTTCTCATACTGAAAGTAGAAACCTTTTTGTTTTCTTTTTTTTCGATTGGATTTGATCGACCATTAAAATTTTTACTGGATAAGATAGCTTAATAACAATTCGCTACTAATCGAACATCACTTAGCTAATAGTTTTTAATATCGATTAAAATTCTTAACACTATTACGCTAATAATCAATAAATATATCGGTTATGCTTATGAGTCTCATAGATATCGAAGGGGTTTATACAAAATGTACTAATTTTTTGATGTGTCTATATGAAATTATTGCAAAGTGCGTTTTCTCGATTTACGTATTAATTTCAATGAAAATATATCACAAATTAAACTTAATAAACCACAAACACTCTACTGATAGCATGAAAATTGAAGTTCCATAGATTTGATACCTCCTTATGGCAATTGTGAACTGTGTTCAATTCTCCAACAACAATGGTCTAATTTACAAGAAAAGGAGGTTATATGCTTAACCATAAAGGATAATGTTTGGATGTGGAAGGAGTGTGTTCTCTTATTGCTTTCAGGCCTACCAAATGCTGATGGTTCTAAAAAACAATGATGGTTGATCAAATCAAATATGTAGTTAGGTTTGGAAGATATGGTCTACCAATCAATCAAGAATAGTTAGGTTTGGGAGATGGAACATTAATTAACTTCCATTCAGCACTCCCAACTTTTCTCTTTCTTCCTTCTTCCTGATTTCTATGGTCACAGAATCTTGGCTTTATCCAGTCTTCCAATCTTTAAGCATCTCATGGGCATCAAAATTATATTGGTGCAATAAACTATGTTGTAAGTAACTTCCATTCAGCATTCCACCTTGTTTTTTTATTGCTGGTGTCTGTGTTCAACCACAAAGAAACAATCTTTAAAATCTAAGCATCCAGATTTGCTTTCACAGACATGAATTGTGGCCACACAATGGATATGCAATGTATGCATGATGAATAGTGGATTAGGGAACACCTCACACAGTATGGGGTCTAATTTGTGTCATCTTGTTAGATCTTTTGAAGGCATATATGATCAACACAAGCAAATATCTTTTTCAATTATCATTCAAGATTTTTCTTTTTCTTTTTTTGCTAAATTGTGCTTATGAGATTTGATATCATAAATGAGATTTTGAATCCTTAATCTTTGACAATACGCTATTTGGTAGTCTCAAATAGTTAGAAATTCATAATTTCATCATGAATTTATTATTATTATTATTATAAAAAATTATTTTAACGTTAAGAATAATCGATCATAGATTATTGAAACTTTATAATTTTTTTTATTATTGTTGTCGTATAAATATAATCGATTCACGGAGAGATATTTACGTGCATAAAAAGAATTAAAGAGATATTTGCAGGTAAATTAAATGGCTGCAAATGGATTAATTATTGCAGCAGAGGCTTGGAAGCAGTCCAATTGCAAGCAAACAAACATCTCCTCTGTTCTTGAAGCCCTTCAAATTAATATTGCTGGTCTCTGTCTAACTCGGGTTGGGTTGACTTTGTTCTCCTGCCTCCCACGGCGGCTTTCATTTTCGAAGATGTTAATATGCGAATGAATGCTTTTGGAGAGAAAGGAAGGTCAGGTGCCCTGAGATCGAGAAAAATATGATGTTGATGGTTATTTTTGACCAAGCAAATAGATCAAGACCGGGGTTGACTTTATTCTCGTGCATACCTAAACGTTATATTTTAGGTATACAATATCGTACTGTACCGATATTATATTTTAGGTATACAATATCGTACCGTACCGATGTTTCGAGATTGACTCGGTACAATACGATATCGTGTACCACTCAGTATACCATGACATATCTTTAAATATTTCTTCCTCTCTATTATTCGAAATTATATCCGATGGTTGGAGCCTTGTAGTTGTGCTTACAGTGGATTTATAGTTGCAGAACACCTCATAATACCAAACAAAGATTTAGAACTTGTACTTAAAAAGAAGCCAAACTAAAACTTACAAGCCACCTGATACATGCATGTAATAGCTGAACACCTCATAATAAGATCATCACTCTCACACCAATCCGACCAAATCTGTCATAAATAAGCAAAGCCTCATGTGAGAATTAATTTCAATAATAATTAATCTGTACAACAGCCCTATCACTTTTACAACAGAATGCTGGTTACAGTAGTAATTGTTAGGGAAAACCTGCATCATTTGGGGGGCGCTATTTCTAATACCAAGAGGCCAAAAGCCGCTTGTGATCTCTACCAAATTGAAAATGGGAATTACAACTTCATAGTTGCAATGATAAATTTGGGTTCTGCGAATCTAATAGGAAACCTGAGACTGGTGACCCTGGTGTCTGGAAACCAACATTTAGATCAGGAGGGACAGAAGCCGACTTCGGATTTATCGACAATCCCCTGTGTGCCTTGAGAATCATGTCCGGAATCAGGCAAGTGGCTGCCGGAACTCGAAGATGTACTTGGATCAGCAACCATTGTCACCTTGTCCATATTGAAATTACTAATGGTCGTTTGACTACTGTTTCTTGCAACCATGTCACGCGCTCGAGAATGTGTTCTCATTGCCTCTGAACTAAAGCTCTCTGGCGAGGCACATGTAATAACACTTTTGCCAACTTGAGAGGGATGATTAAACCCCAATGGGTTATTAAAACCATTCAAGGTGGGTTGCATAGCTGGAGCAGCTTGGTTAAGATGGAATGGAATCTTTTGCCAATTACCCTGTCCGCCAACAGCACTCTGTGGTTTGAAAGCACTTTCATGGTTTCTGGCGATGACCTCCCCTGAATCTAAAACTCTACTTGAGAGAGGAGATGATGTAGCTGGTGTAGTGTTTGCACAGACTTCAGTCAACATGCCACTCCGGGAATGTTCAGATGCTAATGCGCTAGTTGTTGGGGTGCTTTCTGGTTGAGAAACACGGGAAGGAGATCTAGTTAGTAAGGGCGGCTGAGACTGTTGTGGTACTTCATTATCTCCAACCCATCCACGGCCAAATTTTGTCCCGGGAGGAAGGACACTTTCAATTCTTTTAGCAGCAATTTCCCAGCCAATGGGACCAAGGTTTGCAGCAAAACGAGCCAAGCTCCTGGCATATGCGTGCTCCATGTAAAGGCCAACCTGATTACAATGAGACCATCATCAAATGTTCAGAAACTATGCTTTTGTGTCAGATTCTAGCACATAGCAATAGTCAGAGAAGCACTAAAACAAGAGAAACAAAACAAGGAAAAGATATAAACCATGTACTACTCTTTCAGTACGGATAAGTGAAACATGAACTTGTATGTTAACTATCTATTCGTTCTAACAAACTGCGACAAGTACATGTGAAACAAGTAAACCACATCACTGGACCTTGAAGTTGCAAATAAGAACAAAGCTCGCATAGAGTTATAAAACATGATACTTACAGGAATAAGTTGCTTTCTCTCTCCCTCAAATGTTGTTAATACTGATGGTTCACTTATGGAGCCGAATACCTGGGGATGGCTATATGTGATACGACGATTTTCATCTATGACCAAGGACTTCTTGGGATATTTCATCGAGAAACCCTTAACTGCAGAACCTGAAAATAGAACCCAAAAAGAACAGCTGTAATTTTTTCCACAACAAGGTGATAAACTTGTTATTTGTTCATTTGGAGGTGCCTGATTATAAAATTTGAAAAACAAACCTGAATTATCCTCATTTCTTTCAGACTTGTGATCGCCAGTCAAACTATGAGATTCAATAATGCGAAGACCATAAGGCTTTGCTGGTAACTCGGATGAACTTGTTTTGTCTAACCCTTTTCGTGACAAATCATGTGATAAGCTAGTCCAGTGACTACTATCTCCGGCATTAGAATGTGTTGCATTTGAAGAGAAGTTGGAACCAGCACGGTCAACAGGAGGCCTACCAACCTTCTTTTGAATATTCTTAGATGGCGGCCTACCTCTCCTTACTGGCTTTGGTTCTGGTTCATTATCATCACTTTCTTGTCTTAAATTCTCAAAGTTCTTTTTTGCAAGCTCTTGTATGGATCGGGCCTGTAAAGTGAAATACAAATCAGCATTATAAGTATGAGAAAACAAAACGCCTGTCATTTCCTAGGTATTAATGAGAAAATCATAGGGAAAGGGTAAACACCTGTCTGTAGTATATTGTATCTGGTGCATTGTATTGCATTGCATTTGAGCATATTAAGATGACATCTTTCTGCAAAAATATATACAGCATGTCACTAAGGCTAAACTCTTTAACAGTAAACAAATCACTACTCATACACTGACGAAAAAGCATAAAGAAACAAGAAAGGTAAAGTGCATCAATGCCTTAAATGTATCATCAAGCAAACCAAAGACAATCTACAAAATTCTAAAGTGAGTAGATAGAACAAGTTTCATAAAATGACCATATCCCCAGTCTTAAGCATAAGAACAAATCTATAGTAAACAAAGTATTTGTATCAACATGCAACTAACAAAACTTGCTGAAAATTTTGTCATTGAACATTATCAAATGCAATTCAAGAATTAAGGTCTCATTTGCCAGGCCTATGCTATCATAGTCTAGTAACACACGTAATGCTCTGGGTCAATGTCGTACCCAAGCCAGCACATGGCCAGAGCATGCACATGCACAAACACAGTAGTTACTCTTTTATCCTGCAATTAGCAATTTCACTTGATAAGTATAGGGAATGAGTCTCCAGTTGAATCCTTAATTTAAGCAATTCAAGAAGGCCATTCAGATTGCTGATTTCATAGATCATTGTTATATTTAACACTTCCTTTTAAGAGTAAATAAATTGTTATTAGATCAGATCCATAAATTGTGGTTTCAAAGAGAACACGCAAAGTGCAATTTTATGAGTGAAAGTCACAGTAGTTTGATTAAGATTACCATCTTGCATAATTCATCCAACAAATAACATCGAGCTAGACAAAATATTTTAAGGGTGCGTTTTCGGGTTTCCTCCCACAAAAGCAAGACTAATCCTTTTCAACTCAATTATGTACATCAGGCTTGTAATAATTAATGTTAATAATTTTTGGCAACAAAGATAATCAAACCAAAATGGAAAAGTTGATTGTGAGCAAGATCACATGGATAGATTGCTCAATATAAAAAAGGCATATGGGTTGTAGATGCTACCAAGGATTTTAACTTAGGCCAAAAAATCTTTCAGCTGAAAGACACAGCTTTGGCAGGGTTTTCAAGCCAAGAACAAGGTATTGGTAATGAAATAAGACTTTCCTTTGCTTTCCAGCCAGGTCAATTTAAATTTAAACTCGCTCATTTACCTTTGACTAGCTTTTTTGTCAGCAACACAAACTTGTGTGGTCTAATATTTGTTGGGTATCACTTAGTTTTAGTAGTTAGGGCTCTGAAAAGGCCTGAAAAAATCCAGCCAACACCTTTCATCATGGGGTGAAATTTATAGGTACCCTGCTTGTTGTCATTCTATATTTGATTAACGATGGCAACAAGCAGGGTCTTTATAAGTTACCCACATCTACCAGACGCACTTAGATTAGATTCCAGTGTCATTTAGTTGAGTTTGAGCTGGGTTTGGCGAGAAATTAAGTACATGAACTTGGTTTGGTTTCAGGCACGAAGGTGACTAGCAGGTTCAGGGAAATTAGATGGACACTACCCATTGCCACTCCTAAAAATGACTACATTCATTACAGTCAGACAAAATACTTTAATAATAATTTTCTGTGTCTGAGCATGTACATATATGCTGAACCAAGCATTTATGTCAGCAACCATTTCATACCTTCCGGTATTAGTATGATAGTATAATAAGATTCCCTCTTCTCTCGAAGTTTTGAGTTCATAAGAAAATGTGCAACCTTTATCAAACTCTAACATCCTCTCTCATGTGCAAATAATGAAGGATTAATAGGCTTGCCACATGGACCCAAGTACAAGATAACAGTGTACATTGTCACTGACATTGGAAAGCAGTGTGATTTGTACCCTATAACTGCCTTTTGATGAAATATGCATCTTTCAGAAAATTTTGGTGGCAACATTGAATGATGAGGCAAGGTTGAAACAAATAAAGTGTATATTTAAGGTTGTCTAATTTGTAGCTTGTATTTGACTCTCAATCAAATATGCTTCTGGTTTAGGTGGTGAGCCTTGAAAGATGAGACAAGATTAATTCTAAATGCATATTGTGGAACAATTTCAAGAGTTTGGAACTTAAGAGCATCTTTGCACATTTTCAACAATGTTGAAGATGAAGGTTCAGAAGTCAAGCAAACTTTGTAGTTAAGCAAAAATTGTCGCTATTGAATTGATGACTGAATCTTATTACAGATTTATTGCTGCAATTTGGTGAAATGTTTAACAACCATGTTGTATGATTAAATAAAAAAGAGTCCTTAACCTTGACCTCCACAGGGGTTGTTTAAAGATTGATATTGCCGTCCTAGAGAATCCAAAAGAACAGGAGGCAATTTGAAGGTGTAAATCCTTTTGGGAGATCAGAATAGAGATCTTCCTCAAGCTCCAGCACTATACCAGCCACTCCTGAAACTCTGGGGGCGATAATGAAGGGCCTATAGGTTCGATCTGTTCCCAGTTATGACTCGAGGCGAAGGTTGAATCACTAAAAGCATTGGTGCTGAAGCTGATTAAATCAGCTCTAACCATGCATTGTTGTGTATGTTAATGTGACTATTCGCTGTTAATGATTTTTTGACATCTCAAAGACAGAAAGGGCTGCTATTACCACCTCTTGAGACAATACATGGGCCCCAGTAGCAGTGGCCACATTGTGGGAGTTGACCCCTTAGTTAAACTCATTTGTCAATATTGATCCATGTCCAGATTTTCCTCCATCCAGATAGGAGGAACGAAGAATACAGAAAGTCTTACCAGAGTGTAAAAGTAGGTTGTTTCATGCTATCTTATGGTATCACAATTAGCTTCCTCTTTCCATCTTCAACAAAAGAAATATGGTTATCGAGTATGTATTTGCACATTTATTTGGTTGAAGCATCTTGAGATATATGTAATGAAATATTTCATTTGCCTCATCATCTCCTAAAGGCTTTCCTAAAGATGCATGTCAGTTGTGGAGCAAATCAACATTCTAGAAGCAAATATGAACCTTTAACCCACTCCAGCATGCAATCTTTACCAGCTAAGTTGCATGTCAAAGCTCCTGGACTCGAATCCCACCTTCGCCGTTTACCCTTTGCAAAAAAAAAAAAAAACCACTCCAACATGAATATTATAAACTCGTCACCTATCAAATGCCTTCTTTCATTGTAAGAATAAAGAATCCTCTAGAGAGAGAGAGAGAGAGAGAGAGAGAAGTCTAAGAAGAGGGAAGAGAAAGATAAAGAGGACCTCCATAGAGGATTATTTCTGAATTATAGTCCACACATCTCCTTCAAGTAGTCACAACTTACAGTCATTGTATATATAATAAAGTAAAACCCCTTGTAACCTAATTAAAATTTAAAAAAATACTTTCAACTTCTTCCATTTGGGATGCTATCCTTCCTCTGGCTGACCCTCATTTAGTATTTATTGTTGTCTAGATTGAAACCATTTTTCTGTTATCAACATTGATTGTATTTATCAAGAAAATATGAGAAAGAACCTAAAATAAGGTCTTTTTCAAAATTTATGGCCCTTTTCCATACAACGTTACATGCCGACATACATTGTCTTGCTACACCAACATATACCAGACTCCTACCAATTCATGCCTGGACCAATACAAGTCTAGTACCCAAAATTCAATTCCTTGACTTAGAACGTATAAAGATCAGAAAACTTGAGCCTGTAATGATTGGAAAAATCAGATAACCCAAAATTAACAATTCTAGAATCAAACTAAAACTAAGTACATGAATGAAGGCAAAAGTAATCAAACTTTTGCCAACTCAATTTTATTATCGGTCAAACATTAGCCAAAAGTAATCAAACTTCTACACTGGCTGGACTAGGCATACATGAATGAAGGCATATTCGTGTGCTAGAACTGATGATGTGGCATTGCAAGGACCTCCCTTTGCTGCCCAAACCCAATAGCCAGACCTGGTGTTGGTCTCCCATTCCACAGGGATAGAAATGACACTAGCTTGACCATTCATGACTCCTAGTTGGCCAACCCAAAGATGGTCGATGTTGAACTTTTTTGCATGTCAAAAGACACTTCTATTACTGAGGACGAATGTATCAAACCTCCTTTTTGGGTGCCAAAAAATTGCATCATAACACGTAAATGCTAGAAATCTAGATAGGACGATCAAAAGTTAAACCTCGTCAAGGGTTTCATTTTCTTCACTACACCATAAGGTTCTACTCATAAAGTCAATCATTATAGTTCATGTTTCAAGTACTATCTCTAAGTGCTAATCTTTTAAAATCAGCAAATCTAGCTTGGTAAGTCCACTATCATCTGAAAGATGAGCCAATTGCTCTTTTATTTGAAAGAGAAATAAAAATTGAGGTTGGTTACTCCACTTTTATTTGAAAGGATGCATAGGAATTTCTATATAGGAATCTAGGGTGCAATGTAAATGGCAAATAACTAATCACAAAAATTCTTAAGAGAAACAAAATTGAGGTTGGTTACTCCACTTTTATTTGAAAGGATGCATAGGAATATCTATATAGGAATCTAGGGTGGCATGTAAATGGCAAATAACATATTTAATAATAAACCCATAAGATAGGGGTTTATACACAAAAGAACCCTCAGTAGTAATGTGTTGGTTGGATCAGTAGGATGGTACGCCACAGAACTGTAAATCACACAAAGTTCAGTAAAGGAAAAAGATATCATGATAAAAATTTTTACTTCTAACAAGAAATATAAACATCAATGTAGATTTATAGACCAAATCAAGAGTAAAACTACTTAAGAAACAAGTCATAGTCAACTAAATGGAAAATTGATTAGATATATAAATTAAAACATACAGCCTGAAAATAATGATTTGTTTAACTTTAACCTTAAACTACATATTTATGTACATCAGCAACCACCATCTTGACGAGACATACAATAAGGTGAATGAGAAAATGCCAAATTTCAAAGCTTAACTAAATAATAAATGAATTCACCTCATTCCCTGTCGATACAACATAATGGAAAAGAACAAAAGAGTCACAGGTTTGAATTATATAATAACTGTGAAGAATACACCATCATAAGAAACCCAGATGAAGTGATTTAATTATAGTTCCAAGTTCAGCTTCAGAGAATCTAAGTTAACACGCAATTGCAATACTAAATGGCAACAGGATGTCATTTTGGCAAAAAATCAAAAGCCAAGTTTTCATCTATGTAGGCTTTGTTATCTCTAAAAAGCATAAACCTAATGACTCATCTTGAGAAGGGTCCACACATCATTATAGCACCAGTAACACTGATGTTGCCCCATAAACTTTTCCCAGGTTATACCAATCTATCTTTGAACCTAAGCCCCAGCCACCATCATTAACTTTGCCCAAAATGTAATTCTATTTCCAGCTCCATCGTTAATTCCAACCTCAGGTTGTTTTTTAATTTTGAAAAAGTTTAGTTTCAGAATTTTAATATAGATCCAATAAGTTTGGCATTCTTCATTGTGTAGAGCAAATTCTTCAGGAAAAAGATGCAAACTTCAGCATAATATGATAACAAAGGTGAAAATTTTAATTTGCATTAAAGTAGATGTTTTCAGTAAGAAATATAAGTGGAGTAGGAAAAAAATTTAGACAAAAGATAATGGAACCAATGAAAGTTTGGCTTACATGCTCGTTGACCTACTTACAATAGATGAATGTATGCAGGTGAGAATCAAATTATACAATAAATGGACAATGCCAACAAAATCAGGCCATTAGTTTTGAGGAAGCATAGATGGAAAAAAACAGAAAACTGTACTCTTGTTGACTGGCTTTTGTTTATCAAAGAGGAAGAAGGAATTGAGAAATTATACGACAATCATCATAAGCAAGCATAAGCTGTTAATATCCACAAGAAGAGAAGACAATGATATCAACTTTGTCATTGCAGCCAAGGAGTCACATAAAAGCAGATTTTGAATAAATGACACATAGGGAGTACATAGTTAAGTTGTTAGGTTTGTGGAAAAGTATTTCTTAGCACCAAAAATCAGTCACTTGGACTAATTTCAATGAAGTCAACATAGCAATTATTATCTTAGTTAAAGCATAAAACAAATAGCTGCATGTCACCTTCAAATGATATATCATAATTAATCATATTCAGCATGAAATCCAATGCCAACAGTGAATGAAACAAACTGAAATCTGTAGCCTGAATCAAATCATGAATCAGCGGCACGATAACACAAACCAGTAGTGACTAAGATATGCTGAAAGAGAAGACCAAATTAGCAAGAAAATCAAGAAGAAAGTGGAGCAACTGACTTCCCTTCAGATTTTCATTAGGACAAAAAGTAAAGAACAGTACAAATGCAAGAAACAGAATGCAGGGCTTTCTTCCAACCAATAAAGAAGAAAGTTACAGTTAAAGCAAAGTTTGATCTGTCAAGAAAAAGACCCAAGTTTGCCAATGCAACATTCTTTACGGACCTCAAATTGCTCCAGGTTCGCATATGCTCCACCTGACAGCTTCTTCCTGATGGTCGCAAAATCCATCGGATGCTTGATAATATCATGGTAATCTGGAAGCTGCATATATCACACAGCAGAACATAAGATGTCAAGTAATGTCCACACACATAGGAAAAGATGATGTTATTTGAAATGAAACACACCTCCTCGGGATCAACCGGCTCCGCAAAAACGCCATAAGTATCTTTCCTGAGAGCAAACCAGTAAATCCGGTGAAAAATACTCGAGCAACAATTATGTACACATTGGCCAAGACTGAAACAGGTAAAGGGAAACTGCAGGTGAGACTCGATTAAAGGAAGCACAGAACTCACTTCTGCAGCCTGTCGAGGATGAAAACCAGCAACTTTTTGTCCGGCAATGGTGTAGTGGGCCCAGAATCTGATGGCAGGAATAACACAAGACGTTAACAAACAAGCAACACCAAATAAATAAAACGAAAGACACAAAATCGTGTTTTTTTTCCTTTTTCTTCCTATCTTTTAGGATCATTTTGAAGACAAACCTTGTGGAAGATCCATCCCTTTCGACGCAGGATTCTGCCCTTCCGTCTGCAACATCAGGGGGGAAAGCCACACCATGTCAGTCAAAAGATAAAAAAGAAATAACATCTTGTTGGTAACAAGAGAAAGGATCGCCAGGTCAAAAAAAGGAAGGGTCCAATAGAGGAAGAAATAGAAGTAGGAGAAAATCCACGATTAATTAAAAGGAAATTAGACAAACAAAGCTCCGACCACAAAAGGTTGCTTTCCATTTTCTACAGAAACAAATGATGAGAAGAAGGTTGACCTAGTCAAATCGCATAACTCTCACTCGCTCGAAATCAACAGCGAGAAAACCGAAACAAATAAATGGAAAAGCCAATCCAGAAACACAACGGAATCCAAAGACGTCTTAAGAAACGGACACCTCGCCCAACCCGATAAGCACGCACAGATTCCGATCCAAAACCAATTCTGCACTATATTTTCCCCGAATCGAGAGCCCCTCCCAATTCAAGAGCCTATTAAATTCCCGAACGACTAAACCCCCCATTCCACCCCGTAGATCTAAACAAGCCCTACGCGTATAAAAAGGGGAAGGAGAAGGGGGGGACAGAATGGGATCATCCAACCTGGGCATCCGATCCAGCGGGGCCGATCTTTCCCGCCCTGCGGCCATCGGATTCGGAGCCGGAGGCGGCAGTATCAGCGGAGGGGATGTTAGGGAGGCGGAGGACGAGACGGAGCTTCTTCTCCCGCCTTCTGCGACCTGAGTGATCGTCGCCGTCCTCGTCCTCGTCATCGTCAGCGGCCGCCGCCGCCTCGGCGGCTGCATCGGGTTTGAGGCGGGAGGAGGGGCGGCGCGGATCGTCGTCGGGGTTAGGGCTGGGGTGCTGATCCTCTTCCCCCTGCTCGAGGCGCTGGAGACGGAGGCTGCGGCGCTGGAGATCCAAGAGAGAGGGACGGCCCTTCTTCTTCTTTCTCCTCTTCGACGCCACGGGCGGCTTCGTGTTGCCCATTTCGCACGTCCCCTCCCCTCTCTCTCTCTTTCTCTCTCTCTCTCTCTCTCTCTCTCTCTCTCTTCTATCTTTCGTTTCTTTTTTTTGTTTTGTTTTTCTTCTTGGAAGGATGTCGCACGTGACGGGCTACGCGGGTTTATCCCGATGGCGTGCTTCGGACAATAGCTCGGCCCATAATCTTCAGCTGTGCTTGGAAGATTAATGGGCTCCTTGGGCTTTGGATTTTGGGTTTGGTTAGTGGAAGGATATCTTCCCTTCAATCACGTTCAAATTCCACCTAATTAGTTGCTAATAATATTCTTACTACATGTTACCACTCCTTTAATTTACGACTATAAGATCGATATAAAAAATAATTTAAAATATCTTATAAATGATAAAAATATTTTATTATAATTCAAATCTTATAATTTTATCATCCCAAACCGAGAGATAAAACTTAGGGATATAAGTTACAAATAATATTTATCAATTTTTTTCAATCTAATTTATATCAAAATAATTTAATAATAATAAGATAATAATCATAATAATTATTGAATATTAATCCGTATAAAAAAAACTTATATGATAATTATAATCTTCACATACCATAAATCATGTCTTTATATGAAACATAAATATTATTTTATAATTTTAATATATGCATGTGAATAACTAAATAAGTATTCAAGAATAATGATTCGATTTTTATTTATCACATGCAAAATTTTATCAATATGTTATATGAGAAAACTAAAAAAGAAAATTATAATATATATATATATAATTTCTTATAGAACCCTAAATCCTATTTAATTGGATAGGCCCATAATTGGACTTATAGATTTAGGCTAATCATTCACCCAATTAGGCTCCTTAAAACTAAAATTGATCAAAGTCAAAAATTGATCAAAATTAAATTTTTTTTAAATTTGATCATAACTTAATTCATCAAATCTAAATCCAATCAAGCAATCAAAATAAAGTCATGATCAAGTTCGATCAAAATATTTGATTAAAATAAATTAAATTAGTTAATTTTATAATTAAGGATAGAAGTTAACAATTTTAAATTTTTTAAAGGTAAAATTTAATTTTAATTATGATATACAGTAAAAAATTTTGATTTCTTAAGGGCATAATTAAAGAGTAAATTTAATGACATAGATTGTATTTTTATTAACTTTTTAGGATAAAATTATTTTTTTTCTAAAAATCCTAATTCTCTTTCATAGTTGTCCTCGGCTACGAGTTGCTCGTAGTAGTGTCGTTGTTCGTATGTGGTCGAACGACGACCTCACCACTGTTTTGTCATGGCATCATGCCTATGTGCAATTGTGTATCACCATATTCTGCTATGTCGTCATGCCCACATGCGGTTGTGCATCAATTGACGACCACATCGTTATCATGACTCTCAATGATGTCATACAAATGTTAGGTACCAAAACCTTCGATGTCTAATCAATGTTGATCGTAGCTAATAAACGCCATAGCAATGTTGCAGTAGTTACCGTCAGCAATAATGATTGCGGTAGCCATCATAGCCATTGTAATCATCAGACGGTTGCAAATGTTGCAAGGCTACCGCACCCCATGATGCTTTCATTAGGTACACAGTCATTACTTAGGCTGGCAACCACCAAGGGTGCTACCCTCAACAATATTATCGTCGATAGCAAGCTATTGATATTGATCCATCGATCAACGTAAGGAATCTCATATCACCCATAAGCATATGACATGATAGACTAGATAGAAAAGCAAATCGATAATATAAATAGATCGTTCAGCATCGTAAATCAAATAACATATTTTTGCAAGTAAATGGTGATAACAAATAAATTTATATATTAAATAAATTTAAAATACTTTTATGATCTAAAGTATTTAATTTTAAAATATACCTTTGATAATAATTGTAAGCATAAAAATCATAATAATGTAATTATTATACGAAAAATTTTAATGTAAAAAATTAAAATTAAATATAATATATCATATTTATAATGTGTACCTTTTCGATGCTACTCAAAAAACCTTTATAAGAATAATGTCATCGAATCTAAAAGATATAATGATATCGATCTAAAGCAAAAAAAACTAAACTCTCTTTTTTCTTTTTCTATCATTTACAAGATCGCTATGACCAATGAATAAGAGACAAAGGAGATTAAAAAAAACTATAATCTTTAATTCATGAAGAGATGAGAGAATATATATAATCTCTCAATAACGTTATGTCATATATCCATGTTAAGTCCTTAGGAGATCCTATGCATTATTTATAGACGAGAATAGAGATCTAGGATAAGTAATTAGGAGAGTTCCTTCCATCAATATCATCTTCTAAGGAACTTCATAATAATTAAATTTTTTCTATTAATCGATAATTATAATTAGAATCTAATATATCTTACCTATCTAATTAGATAAGACTATATAATTTAACACAATTGTAACTTCTTCATTAATCTACTGTCATCGACGAAGAGCTTTAATCTATTATGTAGAAAGTAGTAGAGAAGATCCGTGTTAGAATTTGATTCAATGCCATTGATTAATATGCTAAAATGGACATCTAGCCCTCTTCAAACATTTTGAATGCAACTAAAGATGCATTCTCAGTTCTTAGTTATATTGTTAAGATTCAATTCTCCCATATATTCAATTCAGGTAGGACAATATGGTAGCTGATGGGCACTCTAAATTTTGATGCAGCATGAAAACTTGATGGTCCTTTCAAAAAGTTGGTAGCTACCATTCCACCCAATCTTCCCAATGGAAGCATCACTATCACGGATCAAAATTTGCCATCCCTTTGGCATCCTTCCTACTTGTCGCATTAGAATTGACCAACCTATTGCTGCATACGTATCCGGCCATCATTCACCTTGGAGATTTAGTTGTTCTAGAGACTTTAACAACCGATTAGAGTCCAACATTTAAACTTGTCACATGTTCAATATTAAAAGATCAGATAGCATGTCGGAATCTTTGGTGCTAAAGTTAAAGTAGAAGATTCAGAAAGTAAAAAAGTATTGACGTGAGTCATCCATCATGCATGCAAAATTGATATTGTTTAGATACATTGCATGTCAAAGTCCTAAAGGAAGATGATGATGTGCTATTCCAATGCAATTCTATATGCTACTGGGGAACTAATCATGGAATCGATTGATATGCCTCTTGCATGCTCTAATGATATCCTAATTCACGGGATGATAACCTGTTCGTATTGACACTACAAAATTATAATCTATCTTTATTGACATACTCAAAATTTAAAACATGTTAAGATTCATAAAAGTTCTCAATTCAATCTTAGCTATAACGACGTACTCGTTATGTCTAATCTAGCAAAATTGTATTGGGCATATTCTTGATAATTTTTCTTTAATATTTAAAAGTTTGAATGATTTATCCCATGTTTTGAATAGTATCAAGAAAAAAATATTTATAATTATACATATAGTATTGTTTTATAGTGGACTTTCAAGATCGTTATTTTTGTGATTGATGTTGATTATGAGGAGTAGTCGTAAGTTAAATCCATAATACGATAAGCGAGGTATATATATATATATATATATATATATATATATATATATATATATATATATATATATATATATATATATATATATATATATATATATATATATATAAAAAAAAAAAAAAGTGTGTGTGAGAGAG